CTCCCCTGGAGTCACCTGCATCCATCTGGTATAGTAGTTGATCACCGTGGCAACCTGGGTCTGCTGCAGCATGACCTCTGAGACCCACACTGGGGGAAAGGAGTTGGCATGAGGACACTGCTGACCTGCCCTATCCTGGCCCACAGCCCCCAGACCCAAGGTCCTCAACACAAAGTGCCCTGGTCTCAGGAGATGTACTGACCAGCATATGCCCGCCTGTCTGGGTCCACCTCATCTTCTGCCTGTCAATGTAACCCCAGATGAGGAGTTAGGGTGGAGGGAGATGGGTGCCTGCCTCCCACCTACTGTCCCTGTTCCTCGCCTGCCTACCTGTCTCCTCCATGGTAGGTCCCGCTTCTCTTGGTCGTACCAGCTTAGCAGACTTCCTCGGAAGGCTGTGACTTCGGCTATGTCTCTGAATAGATGGTATGGGGAGACAGAGGCCTGCAAAACCACCTCTTCCAGCTGTCTGGCCAGGCCTGCTGGAGCCCCAGGACACTCAGAAATCATCCCTGCACAAGCTGTGCACCAGGGTCTCGGGACACAGCAGCCTGTGGCGGTATGCTCCCACCTAGGGCTTCCTCCAACCAACCCCCTTATTTAAGCTTTGGAGTTGGAGTCAGACCAGAGTTCTGTAATTGCATGTAACTGTGGCTAAGTTTCTGGCCTTAATTTTCTCAGGGTGGTACTGCTGGCTTCTTTGTTTCTGAGCTGTAATGAAAACCTAAGAGTATTAGCCAGCTATAATTTATACCTGTGCAGGGCTTTCTTATTTACAAAACACTTTCAGGCTCATAAACTCATTTGGTCCCATGAAAGCCACATGAGGGAGGAAATGCTGAATGGCTGCTCCATTTGACTGGTAAGAAAGCAGCCATTCAGAGCAATTATCCTAATGTCACACAGCAATATAGTCAGAATTACACCCTTAGTGAGTCTCTCTTTTTCTGTTTCTTTTTTTTGAGACAGAGACTGGCTCTGTTGCCCAGGCTGGAGTGCAGTGGCACTATCTCCACTCAGTGCAACCTCTGCATTCCCGGGTCAAGCAATCATCCCACCTCAGCCTCTCAAGTAGCTGCGACTACATGACACTCACCACCACATGAGCATAGAGATGGGGTTTCACCATGTTACCGAGGCTGGTCTCAAACTCCTGGGCTCAAGGAATCCACCCGCCTTGGCCTCCCAAAGTGCTGGGATTACAGGTGTGAGCTATCACACCTGGTCCTTAGTAAGTCTCTTAATGATACTTATCACAATCCCTTCCCAGCCTGAATCTGCCCCCTTTCATGGCCGATGAGCCTTGGACTACAACTGAGTTCCTTACCATTAGGGGCAGAAGGCTTGGCCTGACTGCTGCTCTTAGCATGTTTCTGCCTCCCATCCTGGCTGGCTGCCTGCTTCCTGGGACCACTTCCCACGGCTGCTCGTGGTTTCCTCATGATGACCTGAAACAAAAAGACCCAGCCAAAGCAGTCAGTCACAATGAGGCTGAAACTTGAGGCCTTCCAGGGGTGATGGCCACTTCCCTCTCTACACCATTCACATAGGGTACAGCTTTTCTCAAGCACTCTGAAGATGCTCATGGGTTTACCCTTGGCTGGCTGCAGCACTGAGATACAACTGGTAGAGCTGAGCAAGTGGCCTCAAGGGGGTTAGCGTTATAGCCCTGGAGACATGCAAAGACTGAGAGGCCAGGGCTGGGATGGGTCCAGGACCAGAGCCTCCTGTTTGGGAGCATTTGTGTATCTCTGATGCTTATTGTAACTGTGTGTATGGATAAAGGTTGTTTAGGTGTGCCTACGAGAACTGGGGTAGATGGTTTCTCGGCCTCTTAGAGATATAGCATGGTTACACTGAAACAGCCTTTAGTAGTCATCTAGTCCAAAACCTGCATTCTTTTTTTTTTTTTCTGAGATGGAATTTCACTCGTTGCCCAGGCTGGAGTGCAATGGCGCAACCTTGGCTCACCACAACCTCTGCTTCCTGGGTTCAGGCGATTCTCCTACCTCAGCCTCCCGAGTAACTAGGATTACAGGCATGTGCCACCATGCCCGGCTAATTCTGTATTTTTAGCAGAGTTGGGGTTTCTCCATGTTGGTCAGGCTGGTCTCAAACTCCTGACCTCAGGTGATCTGCTCACTTCTGCCTCCCAAAGTGCTGGGATTACAGGTGTGAGCCACTACACCTGGCCCCAAAATCTGCATTCTATCCTAGAAGAAACCAAGGATCAGAGGGACAAAAGATCTGCCTAAGAACAGATGGCAAATCAGTGGGAGAATAGAGATGAGCTATTTTTATTCCTAATCTTTTCCTGATCTAGTAAACCATAGGTGGCTGACCATTAGCAATGAGAAAGTGTGCCTGGTTGATTTTCACTGCTCCCTGACTGTTCTTAAGGCTACCTTTTCTCTAACAGCTAAAAGGAGCTAATACTTTGTGAGTGCTTACTCTATGTCAGACCCCATGAAGAGGTTTACCAGATGTCTCAATCTCCTGGTGACTCCATCAAGTATGTACCAGTATCACCTCCATCTCAGTTATAAGGAAATTGAGGTTTATGGAGATTAGGCAACTTGTTCTTTCAAATCCACAACGTGCACTCTTACACCATGATAAAATGTAGTCCCTGCTAAGCCTCTGTATCAACCCCCCCACCCCCTCCAAACCTTTGACTTTACCACCTCATTTGCATCAAAAGAGCTTGCCTCCTCCTACAGAAAAAAAAAAAAAAACCTTCAAATCTACCTCCATTTGCACTGTCTCAACTTCCACCTCTTCAGGGTCCTGCTCCTCTAATCCCTTCTAACTGCTGGAGCTCAGAAACCAATACCCCAGGCTGGGTGCGGTGGCTCACGCCTGTTATCCCAACACTGTAGGAGGCCAAGGCAGTTGGATCACTTGAGGTCAGGAATTTAAGACCAGCCTGGCCAACATGGAGAAGCCTCATCTCTACTAAAAATACAAAAAATTAGCCGGATGTGCTCGCTTGAACCCAGGAGGCAGAGCTTGCAGTGAGCTGAGATCGTGCCACTGCACAGCCTAGGCAACAGAGACAGAGCAAGACTCTGTCTCAAAAAAAAGAAACCAATACCCAAAAATATGGCACTTTGACATGCTGAACTCAAGAAGCCTCAAGGTCCCTCTGATCCTTCCACCCCATACAGACTCTCCCAAAGCCAGGATGAAGTTGTTGTCTGGAACTCTTTATCTGCCTGAAGTCCAAAACCACTAAAAAGAATACTTGTTTTGTCTTGCCTTCCTTCTAAGACTAACACAAAACCATACCTGAACAAACTCTTTTACAAGGTATTGTCTACCTCTCATAATCATTCAAATTCCAAAGAGAACTATTTACAAATTAATCTCTGTCCCCATTCCATTCTCCCTAGTAATCCTTTATTGCCCTTCAACAGAATCTCCTTAAACAAACAGGGCTGGACATGCTGGCTCAGGACTGTAATCCTAGTACTTTGGGAGGCCAAGGCAGGAAGATCGCTTGAGCCCAGGAGTTCGAGACTAGGCCTGCAACATAGCAAGACCCCATCTCTACAAAACAAAACACAGAGATTCTCTTCTACCCCTCCCATAATGTTTTGCCAGACAGTATATAAACTTCTGAACTCTGTAGGGGGATGGGTAATCACTTTGTGGTTCTTCCAGTGTGCATGTTAATACATTTGTATGCCTTTTCTCTAGTTAATCTGCCTTTTGAGTTGATTTTTCAGATCTTCAGAGAGCAAAGGGGAAGTTCTTCCCTTGGCTCGTATACAATCAAGTCCCACCCTCCTTCCCTTCATAGCCAAACATCCCTCACCAAACTTGCTTACTTCCATATTCATTCTACAATCCATTCTCCAAAGAGCAAAGCAACCTTTTCTGGATCATGTCACTTCCTTCCTTTTAACCTTCGATGGCTTCCATTCTTTTTTTTTGAGATGGGGTCTCACTCTGTCACACAGGCTGGAGTGCAGTGGTGAAATCTTGGCTCACTGCAACCTCTGCTTCCCTGGCTCAAGCAATCCTCCCACCCCAATACCCCACCCCGACTCCAAGCAGCTGGGACCACAGGTGCACACCACCACCAAGCCCAGCTAATTTTTGTATTTTTGTTAGAGACAGCGTTTCACCATGTTGCCCAGGCTAGTCTTGACCTCTAGAACACAAGCATTCAGCCCACCTCGGCCTCCCAAAGTGCTGGATTACAGGCATGACCCATGGCGCCTGGTGGTACCCCATTATATTCTTTTATTTTCTTTTCTCCTTCCCTCTTTTCTTCCTTTTTCTTTCTTTTTTAAATACTCTAGGCCTTTACTATGGGACATTAAATTCTAGAGCAAGCTGGTTATGGTGGCTCTACACCATAATCCCACTACCCTGGAGGCTGAAGTGATGAACAGCTTGAGCCCAGAAGGTCGAGGCTGCAGTGAGCTATGATTACGCCACTGCACTCCATCCTGGGCTCAACAAGACCCTGTCTCTTAAAGAAAAAAAAAGATTGAGCAAATATTTATGGACTCCCTAATATGTCCCAAGCAGTTTTAGGCACTTGGCATACTTTAGTAAATAAAACACCAAAAGTTCCTGCCCTCAGGGAGCTTATATTCTAATGGGGACAGAAAAGGAATAATGAACATAAGTAAATTCCATAGGATGTTTAGGTGATAAATACTAGCATAAAAAGCAAAAATTAGAGCAAGCGGGGGAAAAAGAGTGCCAAGGTGGGGTATAATGTTGCAATTTTAAAGACTGTGGTCAAGGCAGACCCAAAGCATTCTAAGTGATTGCAAAAGCCCCAAGGAGGGTGCCTGGTATGTCTGTGGTACAGTAAGTATGTCAATGTGGTTAGAATGGAATGAGATGGTCAGGCACGGTGGCTCATGCCTGTAATCCTAGCACTTTGGGAGGCTGAGGTGGGTGGATCACCTGAGGTCAGGAGTTCAAGACCAGCCTGGCCATCATGGTGAAACCCCATCTTTTTTTTTTTTTTTTTTTTTTTACTCATTAAATGTCATGTTTACTAATCTAGCACCATAATTCCAGTCTTAGGACCTCCCGTGCAGTTGGAAAGGGAATACGGGAAGAGGTGGGTATGTTGGAAATTTAGGGTAGTTCTCAAATTGGGGCCCCATTTTGCTTGCAAAAAACACAGGGTCTAGCAAAGAAGAGGAACACTGAGGCTGAAGATGAAAACAAAGGCTTTTGGTTCAGATGGTAAAGGAGGCCCTCAAGAGCAGTAGCATCAGTGTATCCCGAAGGCAGTGCTGGAGGCAGCCTCATGAACTAGGGGGTTTCTTCTTGGCATCCAAGTCCTTTTTAATTTCTTCAGGTTTTTTAGCCAGGTTTGGTATGTCATAGTTCTGAGCCAGATACATTCCAACCACGTTGCCCAAAGTAAATCCAAGCAGGAACTGGAGCATGATGTCGGTGGGGAGGGCGAAGAGGGTGCGAAGGGCGGCTGCAGCTCCCCGGGCCGGTCCGAGCCTGCCTCCCCATGCGCGGGGGCGGAACCCCCCCGAAACCCCATCTTTATATTTAAAAAAAAAAAAAAAAATTAAAAAAAAAAACACTTGACCAGTTACAGATTTCTTTGTTCCTTCTCCACTCCCACTGCTTCACTTGACTAGCCTTAAAAATAAATAAATAAATAAATAAAAATAAAATAAAAGGAAAGGAAAAAAAAGGAATGGAATGAGATGGGGCTGCGTGGTAGAAGAGGTCAGAGAAGTACAGCAGATAGGGTAGGGAGGGGAGGGTCACAAATTATCTTTATAAGTCATTGGAGGGATTTGGCTGCCACACCCTTCTCTTAGAAGGCAGTACTCTTGTCCTCAGCTAGCATTTGGAACGTGTTTCAAAAAAAAAAGTAAAATAAAATAAAATAAAGAAGGCAGTACTCTTACGATAGCCTTGTGGGCTGTATGATCCGGGCACCATCCACCTCATCCCCTCTCACTGTGCTCTAGCCAACTTTGACTGAATTTAGTTGCTTAAACATCTCAAGTGTGTCTGTCCACCTTGGGGCTTCACACAACCCATTTTCTGTTTGGACTCTTATGCTTTACCTAACATCTAATCATTTTTCAGGTCTTGACTGAAATGTCCAAATCAGGATCCCCCCCGTCTTATCCTATCATGTACTTCTGACTTGTAGCTCTTACATACATGTAATTTCGCATTACTTTGATTCTTTCCATCATTGTGTGCTTCCTGAACTTGACTGTAAAAAAACTACATGAGTGCAAGGGCCGGGCGCGGCAGCTCACGCCTGTAATCCTAGCACTTTGGGAGGCTGAGGTAAGTGGATCACCTGCGGTGTCAGGAGTTCAAGACCAGCCTGGCCATCATGGTGAAACCCCATCTCTTAAAAAACAAAAACAAAACACTACATGAGTGCAAGGACTGATTCTCTTCTGTTGAATGGTGTGTATCCAGTCAGTGCCAGGTAAACTATACACAATAAATACTTGTTAAATAAATTAATGGGATGGGGGATAGTCAAAAGAGAGTTTCCCTTTTTAGGATGGGAGAAATCCGAAGTTTTTTTTTTAGAGACAGTGTGTCCCTCACTTTGCCGCTCTGCTGCCCAGGCTGGAGTGCAATGGCGAGATCATGGTTCACTGCAGCCTCGACCTTCTCGACCTTCTGGGCTCAAGCCATCCTCTTGCCTTAGCCTCCCAGGTAGCTGGGACTACAGGCATGCACCACCATGACCAACTAATTAAAAAAAATTTTTTTTGTAGAGACAAGGTTTCACTATGTTGCCCAGGCTAGTCTTTTTTTTTTTTTACTTCTTTTTTTTTTCGTCTCACGCATTTATTCTCTGAGGCTAGTCTTGAGCTCCTGGGCTCAAGCGATCCTCCCAGCTCGGCCTCCTAAAGTGATTCTAGGCGTGGGCCACTGTGCCTGGCCCAAGCAGTTAGGAATTAATAATGAAATAGACTCAGTTGAGAGAAACTGAAGATGAACTATAAACAATGAGTAACCAAGGAGAGTTGGTAGGCAGAGGTGGAGGGGAATCGGAGTGTTTGGGGAGGGATTAGTCTCCAATAGGAACCTCTTTCAAGTTCATTCACCTCTTTCAAGTTCAGCTAGGTGGTCCAGTATACCACCTAGCTGCTTCACAATTTGTCCCTTCCTCGCCATCCATACTGTCAGTCTTAATTCAAGTTCACATTATCACTTAGATTACTTCTTTCCTTTTTTTTTTTTTTGAGATAGAGTTTCGCTCTTGTTGCCCGGGCCGGAGTGCAAAGGCGCGATTTCAGCCCACCGCAAACTCCACCTCCCGGGTGGAGCCATTCTCTTGCCTCAGCCTCCCAAGTATATGGGATTACAGGCATGCGTCACCATGCCCAGCTAATTTTGTATTTTTAGTAGAGGCGGGTTTTCTCCATGTTGATTAGGCTGGTCTCAAACTCCTGACCTCAGGTGATCCGCCTGCCTCGGCCTCCCAAAGTGCTGGGATAAAAGCTTCCTTACGCCGGGCGCGGTGGCTCAAGCCTGTAATCCCAGCACTTTGGGAGGCCGAGGCGGGTGGATCACGAGGTCAAGAGATCGAGACCATCCTGGTCAACATGGTGAAACCCCGTCTCTACTAAAAATACAAAAAATTAGCTGGGCATGGTGGCGCATGCCTGTAATCCCAGCGACTCAGGAGGCTGGGGCAGGAGAATTGCCTGAACCCGGGAGGCGGAGGTTGCGGTGAGCCGAGATCGCGCCATTGCACTCCAACCCGGGTAAAAAACAGGAAAAGCCCTCTTCGCAAAAAAAAAAAAAAAAAAAAAAAAGCTTCCTTACTAGTCGGTTGCTCTACCCCCTCCTCAGGTTCCTCTGATGGCATACTCTTCGCCTCTTTCACTTCCTGGCGAGCACTGAGCTCTCCATCCTCTCTGGGAATTTACCGATGCCCAGAACACCCTCTTTCCCCCCCACGACCCTCTCCTAGCCTAACTCCTTCGCGTGTTTTAAGCTCAGCTCAGGCAGCGTCACCTTTTCTGTAAATCCAAACCCGGCCACCCCAACGCACCCCACCCCCGGCCCACGCTGATGAAGAGAGCAGGACACCGAAGGCCCGCGTTTCCGCCACGAGTGCGGGAAACATTACCTCCCGCTCGCTCTAGCGCGCCTGGCTTTCCTGCGCACTCCAGGGGGCGTGGTTCGAGTCCGCCCCGGCGGCGAGGCGGCTGCACCGGCCAATAGGCAACTAGCAAGCGCCTGGCTCCCTTCCCAGTGCCGGACCCGGGAGGTCTGAACGGAAGTCCGACCCCTCGACGACCTGACGGCGAGACCCCGCCCCATCCCCGACTGTCTGAGCCGCGCAGGGAGAGGGAGCGGAAGTCTTGCGTACCCACAGACGACTCAGGCGGGAGACGAGCGGTGTCATGGCCGCCGACAGTGACGATGGCGCAGCTTCAGCTCCCGCAGCCTCCGACGGTGAGCGGCTTCCCAGGGGTAGTCTTCAAAGCCTGTGGTCTCGGGAGAGGGGAAGGCCTCGGGATCATAGTTCTAGAGACTCCTCAGGCTTCAGAGGCTTACGCTTTCCGCCTGAACTAGCCACGAGGAGACTACAAGTCCCGATGTGCACCGCGGCTCGGGCTGCAAAAGCCTGGAGCATTGGGAGTATGGGGCTGATGGAGGCATGGCGGGAGATGTAGTCTGGAGCTCATAAGGGTTAGTAAGAGCTGTGATTCAGTTCAGTGGAGTGGATTGGGCGTTGTGGTGCAAAGGAATGTGGGACGTATTGGGAGCTCTGGAGTTGGGCGCTATCAGGCTCTGGGAACTGTTGTTTGTGGTGCTGGGGCACCATGAGAACAGTAGTATGGATCCCTGTGAGATACTAAGGAAGCTGAGATCCTCAAGCCCCGCTAAATGTTTCCTGCAGGACATGGGAAAAAAGAATCTCAAAGGTCATCTAGTCCAACTTTCTCCTCTACGGATTGTGACAGCGAGGTGGGAAGTAATTTTCCCAGGCTCGTATAAGCCATTGGAAGACCCAGGCTTCCTCTTCCCAAATTCAGGGCACTCTCCGAGTCCTGTGTGTAGAACGCTTGTGGGAAAAGCTACCAATGGAAACTATTACCATCAGTAGTAGTTTGGCGCCTAGCTTGGGGGTGTCTGTTCCCCTAGGCTCTTTCCTTAAGCATGAACATCCGTCACCCTCCTTACCCCAGGTGGTGTTAGCAAGAGCATAACATCTCTGGAGGAGCTAATAGTCCAGGTTCCTGTAGTAGATGTTCAAAGCAACAACTTTAAGGAGATGTGGCCATCCCTCCTGCTAGCCATAAAGACAGCCAATTTCGTGGCTGTGGACACGGTGAGAACTGGGAAACAAGGAGGGCAGGTGGTTGTGAAGGGGCTGGTGCTGGGGGCTTGTCACAGCCCTCCCTTTACCTACCCACAGGAGCTGAGTGGGCTTGGGGACAGGAAGAGTTTGTTGAACCAGTAAGTATAAGCCCTGTTATCTTTAGTGCCCACCCTCAACTGTGGAGTGGTGGTGGGAGGGGGGTCACAGACCTGGGTGGTTTGGGTCCTTCATGGGCTAACTCCCAGCCACAGTAACCCCCAAACCGAACTCCAAGGTGCATCGAGGAACGTTACAAGGCTGTGTGTCACGCTGCCAGGACCCGTTCTATCCTCTCCCTGGGCCTCGCCTGCTTCAAGCGGCAGCCAGACAAGGTATGGGCTGATCTCACCCCTATCCTAGGTCTGGCTGTGGGGAGGAGGGTAGAGAGATTCTGGGGAACATCAAATACAAAGTTTTTTTGTCCCAAATCTCTTTTAACTTAATAGGTTTTTTTGTTTGTTTTAAATTTCAGTAGATTTATGGGGAACAGGTGGTGTTTGATTACATGAACAAGTTCTTTAGTGGTGATTTCTAAGGTTTTGGTGCACCCATCACCCGAATAGTATACACTGTACCCAATGCGTAGTCTTTTATCCCTCACCCATCTCCTACCCCTTCCCCTGGAGTCCACAGAGTCCATTGTATCATTCTTTTTTTTTTTTTTTTTTTTTTTTTTTGAGCCGGAGTTTCGCTCTTGTTACCCAGGCTGGAGTGCAATGGCGCAATCTCGGCTCACCGCAACCTCCGCCTCCTGGGTTCAGGCAATTCTCCTGCCCCAGCCTCCTGAGTAGCTGGGATTACAGGCACGCGCCACCATGCCCAGCTGATTTTTACTATTTTTAGTAGAGACGGGGTTTCACCATTTTGACCAGGATGGTCTCGATCTCTTGACCTCGTGATCCACCCGCCTTGGCCTCCCAAAGTGCTGGGATTACAGGCGTGAGCCACCGCGCCCGGCCCCATTGTATCATTCTTAAAGCCTTTGCATCCTTGTCGCTTAGCTCCCCCAAATCTTGATATAGCAGACTTCCTTTTTCTCCCAGGGTGAACATTCCTATCTGGCTCAAGTGTTCAATCTCACTCTGCTGTGTATGGAGGAGTATGTCATAGAACCAAAGTCTGTGCAGTTCCTGATACAGCATGGCTTCAACTTCAACCAGCAGTATGCCCAGGGCATCCCCTACCATAAGGGCAATGACAAGGTAAGCCTCCAGCCTCCCTAGCCTGTCCCTTCTGTGACTATTTCTTCCTACCCTAGGCTGGATGCCTGGGGAGAATCTGCTTCTTAGGGAGTATGGGGAATCACTAATGGAAGGGCTTGGGAAACAAAACTAGTATGAGGAAGGTGGGTAGAGTTGTGTTAGGTAGAGAGAAAGAGAGCATTCCAGGTGGGGGAGCCTGGTAAGTGCCCAGCAGAAGAGGCTCCCTGGGGGACTCTGTCCTTCTCATTGACTCCTTTATTTTCACCTAGGGTGATGAGAGCCAGAGCCAGTCGGTACGGACCCTGTTCCTGGAGCTAATCCGAGCCCGCCGGCCCCTGGTGCTACACAATGGCCTTATAGACTTGGTGTTCCTGTACCAGAACTTCTATGCACACCTCCCTGAGAGTCTGGGAACCTTCACCGCTGACCTGTGTGAGATGTTCCCGGCAGGCATTTATGACACCAAGTATGCTGCTGAGTTTCATGCACGCTTCGTAGCCTCCTACTTAGAATATGCCTTCCGGAAATGGTGAGGAAATGGTTGAGGGAAAGGGGTGGGACCTGATATGAGTTTATTTCATTCACTTAAGATATTTATTGAGCTCCTACCATGTGCCCAGGCAGTGTTTTAGGTGCTGAGGATTCAGCAGTGAACAAAACAGACCCAAAAAACCTGCTCTTATGGAGCTTTTATGCTAGTGGACCATTACCCTCTTGCGCTGTTGCAGTGAACGGGAAAATGGGAAGCAGCGGGCAGCTGGGAGCCCACACCTTACCCTGGAGTTCTGCAACTATCCTTCCAGCATGAGGGCCCATATTGATTACCGTTGCTGCCTGCCCCCGGCAACCCACCGTCCTCATCCCACCAGCATCTGTGACAACTTCTCGGTAAGAGCACCCACCTATTTCTTGGGAAGGGAGGTTCTGATGCCTGGAGCCCCTTTCCAAGCCTCTTTCCCACCCCTAGGCTTATGGCTGGTGCTCCCTGGGACCGCAGTGTCCTCAGTCCCATGACATTGACCTTATCATTGACACTGATGAGGCTGCGGCAGAGGACAAGCGGCGACGGCGGCGACGGCGGGAAAAACGGAAGAGGGCTTTGTTGAACCTACAGGGGACACAGACCTCTGGGGAAGAAGCTAAGGATGGTCCTCCCAAGAAGCAGGTCCATGGGGATAGCCTCAAGGCTGAAGAAACTGAGCAGGAAGCGGCTGAGGATGAAACTAGGAACCTGTCTCACTCCAAGCAAGGCAACAAAAATGACTTAGAGATAGGGATTAAGGCAGGAAGGCCTGAAATAGCTGATACAGCTACCTCAGAAGTGCCAGGGAGCCAAGCCAGTCCTAACCCAGTGCCTGGGGATGGATTGCACCGAGCTGGTTTTGATGCCTTTATGACAGGTTATGTGATGGCCTATGTGGAAGTCAGCCAGGGACCCCAGCCCTGTAGCTCTGGACCCTGGCTCCCTGAATGCCACAATAAGGTATATTTGAGTGGCAAAGCTGTACCCCTCACAGTGGCCAAGAGCCAGTTCTCTCGTTCCTCCAAAGCCCACAATCAGAAGATGAAGCTCGCTTGGGGCAGCAGCTGATGCAACTTCCACCTAGCACTCAGGTGTAACATATTTTGGTTCTCTCTAGCCTGTAAATGTCGTACTCAACTACTATTGAGTTTAGGGGACGGGGAGTGTCCTGGAAGATATCAATGCATTGCCTTGGACCTCCTCCTTTATCTCAGTGTCTGAGGTACAAGTAAGAAGGCTGACCAGCATCTGTAACACCAACTTTATTTTTAAGTCTGAAAATGTTTTGGGAAAGTTTGCAAAAAAAAAAAAAAAAAAAAAAAAATCAACAGAAGCAAGTTATGAAAATATTTGACCAGCTTCATCTTTGGTTATTTCTTATTGCAGCTCTGTAAGGAAAGACTGTTCCCAAATCTCCAGCCATAGCAGGAAGGGAAGAAAATCAGTCCATGTATAAACCATTTAACCAATTGAATGTATCACATGTTGACAAATACATAGAAGCAGGCCCTAGGGCCTACAAAACCAGCCCCACTCCCAACCACAAGGTTGAAAGTCTTACGGGGCAGAACATTAAGACTTCTTTATAAATACGAAAATAGATTAATCAACTGGAAAAGGTCTTTGAATAGGTTAGCTAAGAGCCATGACCACCACGCTGCCTTGCCCTCCCCTTACATAGAAATGTAGTGACGTGGTCTGACCATGCAGTCAGTGCAAACAGCAATTACTCAAGTGTCTTAGACATACTGGCAAGAAGCACCCCAATCTTCAGGTCTGGGAAACAGCCATGCCCATTATGGCCTCCTGGTAAGCTCCATATTCCACTCAGTAGCTTATATGCCCCAAGAAAGGACAAGAGACAGACCTGGGGTGGGGAAAGAACCTGGGTAATAGCTACCTGCCAGCCCAGCCTAGAACTAGACATCCTCTGGTCCTGCCTAGGGAAGTGCACTGGGAGGTCTGGTGGGAGGCAGACCTCCTTGCTGGATTTCAGAGGCTTGGTATCAGCTGTTGGCCCTAACTAGGAAGGCCTCTCACTGCTGCCTCCCCATCATACACAGCCAATGGGCACTGGGAGCCCAGAAGTTGAGCCTGGCTTGGCCTAGCCTGCCTACTCTGTGGGCTCCAGGGAAGAGTCAAGGCTGTGCACTTGCGGGGCCATATGGTTTCAGTTGAAAGTCCATCCCCAAGGTGAGACAGGGACTAAACTCCCCTCACCCATCCTGCTTTCCCTGGGTCTGCAGGCCTATGCCTGAGGTGGAGAAGGTAGCTGTAGTTGAGCCTGCTGGCCTTTCTTCTTCTACCTCCATCTCCTCAGAAGCACCTGCAGGGTGTGGACTGGTCCCCTGGGGCCTGGACCCAAAACCGTTTTCTTCCTGGAGACTGGAGCAGTCCATAGCCTCATGGGCTTGAGCAGCTGGTAGGGCAGATGCCCGGAATGGTGGGATCTCTTTTACTCTGTACTTGAGACTACTTAGGCGTGGTGGGGGCCCATCAGATAGCGATTCTTCCCGGTCCACAAATGGACAAGCCTCTTGATGCAAGAACTCAGGTGAACCAGGCAAGGAACGCCACCGGCGAATAGGTGGGGCCAGGGGCTCCTGCCAGTCAGCCAGGGGCATAGTTCCGGGCCCTGGTGCATCCAAGTCAAATACCAGAGAGATGACAGACTTGCTGGGCAGGTCAAAAAACTTGATCTTGCCCCCCTTGAGGTCCTGGCGAGCACTAAAAGGGTTGACTTTGGGGGTGCGGGCAACACCATCTCGTGGACGGTAGTATGGGTCCAAGACGCTCACTGTACGTGGGGGCTTTCGGGAAAAGATGTCTGACTGGCTTCGAGACAGCCAGATGGTACGTCTCGGGCATGGTGACTTGTGGGGGATCTTGTCATCCAGTGAGCTTAGTCGCTTCACCCCAGGTGTTTTCTCCAAGAGTCCTAAAGAATAGTCAAATCTGGGTAACTCTTACTAGTCATAACAAATAAAAGTAGCATTTTACCAAAAAATGTTTTCACTCATGAAAGCAAAGTGTAGGTACCACTGTCTCTTCACCAATGAAAAAACAGACTCAGAGATGGGAAGCAGTATGCCAAGCCATGGCTCTTAAAGAGGCCAGTACTTTCTGTGTCATCTCCTTCCCCTCCCCTTTGTTTCTGGACCTGGGATCCCCTAAGAGGGGAAGGCCCCACATCCTAATTCCCTTAGGGTTAGGTTGGGCTTCTGGGTCTAATCTCTTACCCTTGGCTGTGGGCTGCAGCTTCCTATCCCTCTCCTGATCTTCTTCCTGTAGGCGGCTTAGAATTTCCTCCAGGGTCTTCCCAATCTCCACAAAGGATGGGCGCAGTTTGGGGTCCATCTGTAGGCATCCACAACAACCATTAGCCCTGCCCTCCATGTCCCACCCCAAAGATGAAAGTCTATTTCTGGCATCTTTTAAGATTCAAATGTGCAGCTAAGAGACCTTTTTAAGGCCCCAGACAATGGAGGTGATCCCTATAGCTCAGGTCAGGGAAAACACTTGCCTACTACCCTCCCTGTCTTAAGTGTCTTCTTTTTTTTTTTTAAACAGAGTCTCACCATGTTAGGCTGGTCTCAAACTCCTGACCTCAGGTGATCCGCCCACCTCAGCCTCCCAAAGTGCTGGGATTACAGGCGTGAGCCACCACACCTGGCCTAGTGTTTGTCTTATCACCTTGTCATAGAACCTTCCAAAAGTATGCTCCTTAGTTGATTCTGTTCTTGAGTTCTGTTCCTAACATGTTTCTGGGAGGTATCTGAACAAAGCCCACCTACCCCTTGATCTTAACAGGTAAGGTCCAGCCCCAGAGCTATATACATGAAGGCCAAGAAGAGCCTTTCTCTGCCTGGTGCAGTGGCTCACACCTGTAATCCCAGCACTTTGGGAAGCCAAGGTGGGCGGATCACGAAGTCAGGAATTCAAGACCAGCCTGGCCAACATAGTGAAACCCTGTTTCTACTAAAGATACAAAAAAATTAGCTGGGCATGGTGCGTGCACCTGTAATCCCCGTTACTTGGGAGGTTAAGGCAGGAGAATAGCTTAAACCTGGGAGGCAGAGGTTGCAGTGAGCAGAGATCACGCCACTACACTCCAGCCTGGGCAACAGTGCGAGACTGTCTTAAAAAAAAAAAAAAAAAGCCTTTCTCATGTGCTTCAGGACCAGTTGGATCCACAGTCCATCCAACAATAAAACCTGTCCAGAGTTCCATCAACACCCAAGGCAAGGAGTGATGGGTCTAACCTACTGGCTGAGGACCAGATAATACAAAGCAATTTTTTTCTTTGCTTGGTCCAGGGCTCTGAATAGCTTAGCTAAGAGCCAGAGGGAGGAGGAGGAGATGTGGTTGCTATTACTACAGTGAAAATGAAGTCCCTGATGAAGCTAATTAGCAGCCTCTCTGTTCAGTCCTAACCCGATGAAAATGGTTCAGCCAGCCCCTGATGAAAAGCAGAGGGAAAAAAACACTCACATTACAGCAGTTGAAGGTGAGCTGCAGAAAATCTGGGGGACAGTCTCCCACCATGTGCTGGAAAGCGTCATAGTCCAGCCCGAAATTCTATGGATGGGATGGAAAGCATAGGTAGACAGGTCATTAATCCCCCCACCCATCCAAGCCTCCTCAGAAGAGCCTGGGAGCTGCCCCTCGCAACCAGCAACTGACAGTTCCAGCAAGTCCACCCCAGGGACACAACAGTTCCATTGCTTCAAACTAGCCCCATCCCAGTGGCAACGATCTCCATGCTTGCAGCTCACCTCTGTGCGGGGAAGGTAGTCCGGATCGGCCTGGATGCGGGCGATGATTTCACAGAGGATGATACCATAAGAGAACACATCCGCCTAGTGGGTAGTCAGACTTTGGTTTCCCTCTCAATGGGTTGAGGGGTAGAGTATCTGGGCTCCCTTCCCCACCCCCCACATCTAACAGCCCAGGCCTGGGTCATATTGCCCATATTTCATCCCAGTCAGTCACTGGGCAGCTGCCAGGTACCAGCCCTGCTCTTGGTAGGAACATCTTGGACACTCTGCTAAGAGTAGATTCTAAGGAGAATCAGGGCTGAGTGCAGTGGCTCACACCTGTAATCCCAGCACTTTGGGACGCCAAGGAGGACAGATCACTTGAGGTCAGAAGTTTGAGACCAGCCTGGCCAACATGGTGAAACCCCTTCTTTACTAAAAATACAAAAATTAGCTGGACGTGGTGGCGCATGCTTGTAATTCCAGCTACTTGGGAACCTGAGTTGGGAGAATTGCTTGAACCTGGGAGGCGGAGGTTGCAGTGAGCTGAGGTTGTGCCACTGCACTCCAGCCTGGGCGACAGGGAGACTCCATCTCAAAAAACAACAAAAAAAAGGAGAATCAGACCTTGGGATTCTCCAAACTTACCTTCTCATTATAGGGCTCACCTCGGAGAACCTCAGGTGCCATCCAGAATGGGGAACCCACCACGGCCAGCTTCTCACTCCCCATGCTGTGGGAGGAGATTATACAGAAAATCAGCTTGCCACTGGCTGATGCAATGGAATCTTTTGACCATTGGTAATTCCTCTGCCCCAAGGGTGGGTACAGGCTGGGACTGACCAAATTTAGGGAGCCGAGGTTGAGCTGTGGCCAAGTTACAGCTCTGGGGAGGAGGCTAGAATTTTCCCTTCGCTTCAGCCCCCTGTCCTTGGACCCCAGCATCCATTAGGGCTACACACCTGACATCGGGGATCTTCTCAGCCAGGCCAAAGTCAGCTACCACTGCAGAGTAACCATTCTCATCCCTCTTTATCAGGCAGTTCTAGGGTTAGCAGGAAGGAAGAGAAAATAATGTGGCTCAGAAGTAGGGATCAGCCAGCCATAGAGTTACCACCCATTCCTCCCTTCCTACTACAGGGCACCTTTTCCTCTGCTCCTTGGTGAACCACACTCTTAAGCTGACCCCACTGATCAGATCGGGAGCTCTAAGACAGCCAGGTGAGATGAGTTTGTCCTGGGTCTTGGGTGGCTGCCCTAGGATTTACTTCATATTCCAAACACAATTACTCATCTTTGCTTTCTAAGTGCTAGACATGGTTTCAAGTGCTAGAAATAGCTCGATGGGTAAAACCAATACTCTTGCCCTCTTGGAGCTTGCAATATAGGTGAGAACAATGGACCATCAGGCCTGTGGCCTCCCTTCCTCCTTCCTCAGAATACAAAGACCCAAAGTGCAACCCTTGCCAAGTTGATATAAGCACAAGACAAGTGTCTAAGCCTACACTAACTTTTACTGTTGACAGGATCACAACCAACCTCCTCTCTGGCATTAAAAGTCTATGATCTGGCTTTATCCAAGTAGCCTAGGCACTGTCCCCCTGCTCCTCGTGCCCCTATGCACATATCCTCATCCAAACTTGTCACAGACAAGCTTGACTTAACCAAACCTGAACTTTACTTAAATTGTTCCCTTCCATTTGAAATATTCTCCCAATTATCCTTTTTACCTAAGAAAATTTTGTCTTTTAAGGCAAGCTATCTTTTTAGCCATGACCTCATCTTTCTCTCTCCCTCTCAACTCCTTTAGCTCCTCCTCTATGCCACTTCCTCTTACAGTCTAACAGAAAAGCTGTGAAGCCCTCAGGAGCAAGTTCTGGTTTGGGCCTTGCTTACTCACAGCTTTCAATTAATAGGTTGAGAGCATGCTCACTCAACAAATGCTGTCTTCAGGTCAACCCAAATGACCTGCAAATAAACAAAAAGCAGCAACCAGCTCTCCCCAAATAGCTGCTTTCAAAATAGCCCTATACCGCTCTGGCTCAAGAGGTACCTCACCCCACCCCCTTCCTTCAGAATAGCATAAAAGCAGGGATCCTTGGCTCACAGCAACACTTCTGGAGCCAGCAAGGCCCCATCTGACCCAAACCAGCTCTCCCTCTTCCTTGCCAGCTTTGGCATCTAGTTGCTAAGACATGGCCAAGTCACCTCGTGCTTACTCCCATCAGGTACCAATCAATCCCTTACCCTGGCCTTGACATGATAACACAATTCCCCTTCCCCAAGCTGGAAGGAGCCTGTGATTTCATTACTTCTACCCTGGATCACAGGTAGACATGCATCATCTCTGGCTTCCAAGCGGGACAGTCCTTATGCCTGTCCTGGCTTTGGCTCTCTCATCAGTCCTGCTGGCTCAGCCTATTAGCCAATGCCCCAAATATAGGGCACCAGCCTGTGAGGCAGTGGCAGCTCAGATATGTCACCTATGTCTCTTCCCTCCTAGAAGAAGACTTTTGATTGAGGTACCCCTGCCTACAGTAAGCAATAAGTGAGGCCCAGTCAGATTTCCCTAAGGCAAGAAGTGACCTTTTCAGTTTCACAAAAAGCAGCCCACGGGACGGGCATGGTGGTTCACGCTTGTAATCCCAGCACTTTGGGAGGCCGAGGTGGGCAGATCACAAGAGGTCAGGAGTTCAAGACCAGCCTGGCCAATATGGTGAAACCCCATCTTAAAAATAAATAAATAAATAAATAAACAAACAAAAAGCAGCCCAGGCCGGGCGCGGTGGCTCAAGCCTGTAATCCCAGCACTTTGGGAGGCCGAGGCGGGTGGATCACGAGGTCAAGAGATCGAGACCATCCTGGTCAACATGGTGAAACCCCGTCTCTACTAAAAATACAAAAAAATCAGCTGGGCATGGTGGCGCGTGCCTGTAGTCCTGGCTACTCAGGAGGCTGAGGCAGGAGAATTGCCTGAACCCGGGAGGCGGAGATTGCGGTGAGCCGAAATCGCGCCATTGCACTCCAGCCTGGGTAATAAGAGTGAAACTCCGTCTCAAAAAAAAAAAAGCAGCCCAGGCACTGCTGCTGCCTGGTTCCCATTCCTCATTGTCCTCATCCCTATTATATCACACTGCAGCAGTGACTTACACGTTTGCCTCTTTAAGGGCAAGGAATGATTCTATTTGTCTCTGTATCTGTAACCTAGCACAGGTACCCAGAAGGAGCTTGGCAAAAGTATGTTAAATGAAAGTTTGGTCTGATGACTAAAGCAACTAGGCTTCTTTTAAAAGCATGTGTCAGGCTGGGTGTGGTGGCTCATGCCTGTAATTCCAGCACTTTGGGAGGCCAAGGTGGGTGGATTACCTGAGGTCAGGAGTTTGAGACCAGCCTGGTCAACATGGTGAAACCTCATCTCCACTAAAAATACAAAAATTAGCCAAGCATGGTGGCGGGTGCCTGTAATCCCAGCTACTGGGGAGGCTGAGGCAGAAGAATCACTTGAACCCAGGAGGTGGAGGTTGCAGTGAGCCAAGATTACACCACTGCACTCCAGCCTGGGTGATAGAGGGACTCTGTCTCCAAAATAAAAATTAAAATTAAAAAAAGCATGTGTCAAACGTATACAATAATAATACATTCCATTCTCCATAGTGAGGAGTGAGCTGACAAGAGGCTCAAAAGGGTGGCCATGGATGCATTTCCTGGAAACCAACACAAATTCTTCAGAGCTGGGCCAGATCAGACACCTGAGAGAAGTTCCTGAAGTGTCCTAGAACAGCTGCACAGTCAGTATTAACACTGAATAAAACCACCTGAGTGGAGAAATTCCAAGTCTATTAATTCATGTTCATTCTAAAGTTGTTTCTGCAACAAAAACACTTTCAGTATGGCATCACCTCCTTCTCCTCACCCCCAACAAACTCACTCCATAAACCCAGTTAGGATCAGGCAGGAAAAGACTGATTCTACTGAAAGACTGAACAGTTAAGAGGTTCTTTTCATAGCACAGGGAGATCAGTGACCGAATTGCCGGACTCCTAAATGCCTCAGGGACTGCTATATTTCAAGTCTCTTAGAAGATTATCTATTTTGGTGTGATGTTTCCCATCCCTGGCCCTCAATCTCACCATGTGATCCCATACCTTTACCATAGCTCTTATGTAATGACCTGCTGATTTAAATGTCTCTACAACTAGAGTAGAGCCCGTGGAAGGTAAAGATTGGATTCCCCAATATTGTGCCCTCTAATAGCCTGGCATAAATAATTCCCAGAAGCTGCTGATGGTTTTCATTATAAAAATTAACTGCAGGGAACACTAACAGTCATTCTCTACATCCCTCCAGCATTTAACTTTCCTAATTTATGCTCTCCTCACTCTGAAAATTGGCATTTTCTATTCCTAGTTGTGTGGCATAGCCTAAGACCACAGCTGAATAGGCTTTTCATTCTAATGAAATCACCTAAGTGGCTTCTATGCAGTCAACAATAACAACAAAAAACAACTGAGAACTAAAGGTGCAATTCATAATTCATACTCATTCCCAATAGTAACCATAGAAGATCAGTAGTACTTTCCTGATGTTCGGCACTAATGATATTAAGCAGAAGCAAATTACTTTCTCAGCTGCCCCCAAGAGCCAAGGCTTGGGTATTGGTTACTCCTAGAGCTACTGATAAAGCCTATGTGTGGTTATTGGTACTGCTTCATAGTGCTTATGAGCTGAATATTTTTAAAGCCACACGGCCTCCCACTTCCAAGTAAGTTCTTAGCCTTGCCACTGCAAAAGTCTGTTTCAGGCTGTTTCTTAGAAGTAATTACAAAATGAGACTGAACAGCTATATCTGACAGACATTTTACTCTTAGAGCATTATTGCAGTAGCTGCTGACATGAATCCTATAAAGGCAATTTGCAGGAGGCACGGTGATAGGAAACTAGGGATCTTTTTGCCTCTACCACAGGCTCAGGATCATTTGGAAAAAGGCATCTACTTCTCTGTCCTGGTTTACCCACATGGAACATGTTACCTCTACTTTAAATCCCTCCTGTCAGCTCTGGTCTAAGCAGTGTGGACTGATCACTCCTGCAAAGTCAAGGACAGCATCTATTTTACAAACTGGGAGCATGGAGGTCCCAAGGGCACTGAAGTCATTCAGAGAGGGGGACAAAACTGAGCCTGGGACCCAGAATCTCAGCTCTGGAGCAGGCATTTTGGCCTCTTTGCTATCAAGCTCTTCTCTGAAATAGGGCAGAGGAGGAAGATGGCAGAGGAGGAACACAGGATAAAAATGGAAGTTCTCAATAAAAAGAAGATGTATTGGGAAAGAAAACTGCAAACTTTTACCAAGGAATGGCCTGTTTCCTCATTTAACCGGCCCTTTCCCAATTCACCCTAAGACTTTATGAGAGTAGGAAGTCCCTACTCTCATAGGCTCTGTGCTAGGTGCTAAGCAAACAAATGTAAACAAGAGGAGCACTTGAGAAACTCTATCCTGGTGGGAGATACAGACAGAACAATCAAGTAATATGAAGTGTACAATACTAAAATATAAGTAAACCTGATATGGTCCTTAAAGAAATCAAACACAGACGCAAGACGGACTATGAAGGGATAATTTGGAAACCTCAGAGCCCTCTACTGTCACTTTTAGCCTTGTTTCTCCCTTGGGACTTTTCATTCTTAAGGCCACTGCCACCACCACACAGGTTTCCTGGGTGGGGCTTCTCTGGCCTAGGTGTAGGCATATACTCCTCTCCGTCATTCCTACAATATAGTTACAATGAGACAAAACTTTACCAAAAAAAACTCAGAGATTATAAAAAGGCAATGAACACAAACAGTATCTCAAATTGGACAGTCTGGTTCATAAGACTCACTTGTCTTCAACTCGAGATCCCCTATAGTGTACTTCCCAGCCTTCCTCTAGAGTTTATAAAAGTCCTTTGTTCTCACCACCTGGAAGTATCCTCAAAACCTCCTTAAAGTGCAGACCCAAGAAAGCACAGCCCAGAAATATAGGGAGTTATTTCCCCTGTGTTCCTAGTTTCTTGTCTCAAGCCAATTGACACTAGGAATACCCATTCCCCATAAGGAAAACCAAAGGATGGTGGTCTTATCCTATAGTCCAAAAAGGTTAGTTATTTTTACAATACAGCACAAGGCCAGACAGAACCACACTTGGACACCAGCACAATGGGACAAAGTGTTTTTGGGGCACAGAGGGAATATGATGAACTCTTAGGGAATGGGGGCTTTCCTCCAGGAAGCCTATCTACCCTGGCCTAGAGTGATCTTTCCTGATCTGAAAACTAGTAGTCTATGTAGCTAAACAATTATAAAATGCTGCGCACTACTTTTTAGTTATTTGCCAATAAGACTGTATGTACCTTCTAGGTCAGAAATTTCTCCTTTCTAATGTTCCTTCATCCTCGGAGACAGATACAGGAGACACTCGTGTGTGTGTGTGGGGGGGGGGGTGGATATCTGTGTAACTGATACATATTTTGTCACAAACTCCCTCTATCTTAGAAAAAAATTGTGCTTTCTGAGTAGGAAACAAAGATTGACTTTGGCTGGATGCCTGAGGTGAGAGTATCAACTTAAGGAAGTATCTACGTTGATTCAATCCAATCCGTTTGCCTGGAACAAATGCATTTTTCTTAGTCTTGATTTTCCAAAACATTCTGGGGGAGAATAAATGGCTAATGAAGAGATAAGATATCACCTTCCAGGTCCCAACTGCCTAACTGTGCAGTTCTTACAGACAGTAATGTAGATAAAGGGCTTCTTACAATTAGGCCTCAGCTGGTTCCCAGTTTCTACTTGCCAGTCTTGTGCTCCTTCAGGAATAGTGCAGCTGACTACAAATGGTTCTGCCACACCCAGTGGCCCTACAATCACAAAGCTATTTTCTGTACAGTAGTTTATAAACCAAGGGCAAGGGTCCCTCAGGGACAGTACTGGTGTTTGGAATACCAGAACCACTCCATGTGAGGCATCCAGGTACTTACTGCTTTAGGCTTTACTGACTCAGAGTGAAGCTACATTTGTTTCCTTTGCAAGCTTTTCCTTAAGACAGGCTCCCTTCCCCTTCATCTAGGGCAGAAGGAGTAGGAGTATGTGCATGCATGTGTGGATATGTGTACATGTATGTATTGAGGGGGGAATGAAGTGACAGCTACTCTTAGGCAGGTACAAAACTCTTATACACCCCCCTAGCAGACTTTAATTCAGTTCTTGTGCTAAATATTAGATATGTTAGAAGTCATATTAGATATGTTAGATTGCCTTATAGTTCCCCCATCGATAATCAAACAATACTATTTATATAAGCCTTGTCATGATGGTGTCTTAGGCCATTTGGCTATGAGGTACCTGTTTTGTGAGGTGGCCAACTTCCTCTGAAAGCAACTCTTTTCTAACCTGGTCACACAGCAATTTGGACAGCAAGAGAGTGCTACAGAGATCAGCTGATGCCAAAGAGGAACTGGCAGAGCAGCAGAAACTCAATCACACAGGCAGAAAATGGGTCAGTACATTATGGCCCTAAAAACCTGCACTCAAGTGACTAGAAAGCACTGAACTCCTGCTCTTAGCTAAGAACTACATCCTGGAGGCCACAAGAAAGAAAATTAATAGGCCCCTATACTGCCTTGACTGCTGTCACTCCTATAGGGCAAGAATTTCTTAACCCTTCTCATGTCATTTGCTCCTGTAACATATATTCAGGAGACTGAATTTAAACATGAAGGCTCTCAAGATGTATGTGTTGGCTGGGCACAATGGCTCACGCCTGTAATCTCAGCACCTTGGGAGGCTGAGGTGGGTGGACTGCTTGAGCTCAGGAGTTTGAGACCAGTCTGGGCAACATGGCAAGACCCCATCTCTATTAAAAATATTTTTTTAAAAAGCTGGGTACTGTGGCTCACACCTGTAATCCCAGCACTTTGGGAGGCTGAGGTGGGTGGATCACCTGAGGTCAGGAGTTCAAGACCACCCTGGCCAACATGGTGAAACCCCATCTCTACTAAAAATATAAAAAATTAGCTGAAGGTGGGTGTGGGTGCCTATAATCCCAGCTACTCAGGAGGCTGAGGCAAGAGAGTCACTTGAACCTGGGAGGCAGAGGTTGAGGTGAGCCAAGATCACTCACTGCACTCCAGCCTGGGCAACAAGAGCGAAACTCCATCTCAAAAAATAAAACAAAAATACAGCCAGGCGTGGTGGTGCGCCCCTGTTGTCCCAGCTATTCAGGAGGCTGAGGTAGGATAACTGCTTGAGTCCACGGAGTGAAGGTTGTAGTGAGCCGAGATTATGCTACTGCACTCCAGCCTGAGTGACAGAGCAAGACCCTGTCTCAAACAACAACAACAACAACAACAACAAAAAAAACTGTATGTGTTGGCTCACTCAGCACTAAAAGGAAACTGCTGTAAGAAAATATGGGCTTGCCGGGCGCGGTGGCTCAAGCCTGTAATCCCAGCACTTTGGGAGGCCGAGGCCAGTGGATCATGAGGTCAAGAGATCGAGACCATCCTGGTCAACATGGTGAAACCTCGTCTCTACTAAAAATACAAAAAATTAGCTGGGCATGGTGGCACGTGCCTGTAATCCCAGCTACTCAGGAGGTTGAGGCAGGAGAATTGCCTGAACCCAGGAGGCGGAGGTTGCGGTGAGCCAAGATCGCGCCATTGCACTCCAGCCTGGGTAACAAGAGTGAAACTCCGTCTCAAAAAAAAAAAAAAAAGAAAAGAAAAGAAAATATGGGCTTATGGTGGGGCACAGTGACTCACGCCTGTAATCCCAGCACTTTGGGAGGTGGAGGCAGGTGGATTATTTGCAGTCGGAAGTTCAAGACCAGCCTGGCCAACATGGCAAAATTCTGCCTCTACTAAAAATTAGCCAAGCGTGGTAATGCGCACTTGTAGTCCCAGCTACTCAGGAGGCTGAGGCACAAGAATCCTTGAACTCAGGAGGCAGAAACACTCCAGCCTGGGCAACAGAGTGAGACTCTGTCTCAAAAAAGGAAAGAAAAGATGTAGGCTTTCCAAGAACAAATTATAAAGTGTAATGAGTTATGTCCTCTGTGATTAAATGTTAAATCTAACACCACTTTCTTGGCAAAAAAGAAGGATGGCATCTCTCAATGAGTTGTGAAAGTAAAGCCTTCATACCTTAGATGTGAGGTCCCGATGAAAAATGCCTTTGAAGTGAAGGTAGCTGAGGCCCACTGCTATGTCATAGGCCAGTTTTACCCTCACAGTCCAAGGCAAATGCAGGTTACTGTCTAGCAACTGTTCCAGGTTCCCGGAGTTGATATACTGCAAAACAGAAGGAAAACCCAGCTACCATTTATCAGAAATGTTTAGTCTAGTGGCGAAACCATTAGAGATTAAACACCTAGAAGAGAGAAACTATATATATATATTTAAATTACTGAGGGCTTATTCTACCTCCAGGCACTGTGGTAGGTGCTACACACAATGATACTTTCCTTTAAGGAGATCACAACTATTAAGGGATATAGACAAACAATATCATATAATAAATGTTAAAATACAGCTATGTGCAGGTAGGACAACACCATGCAGCACCAAGGATAAAGCTACTAACTGTCAAGGCATGTCAGAGGAAGATGCAGAGAGGAAATCAATCGGATAGGATGACCTAGAGTAGCAGGAAAGAGGGACATAGAGGGAGCAGCATATGCAAAGTTACAGGTTAAGTGCATGATGCATTCAGGAACTTAATTTACTTCAATATGGCCAGAGTGCATTTTACAGCAAGTCAGGAAGTAAGGCTGATATGTTTTGCTAAGATATGTGAACTTTATCCTGTCTATAGGAAACAAAAGAAGCATTTTAAGCAGGAGACCCACATGGCTACATTTGCTTTTTAAAGAAAATATTATTTTAGCAATGGTGTGATAGATGGATTAGACTGAAAAATACAGAGAAAGAGAAATAGGAGATTACTACAATAATCTTGGTGAGAGAAGGGTATCTGAATCATGGCAATAGTGGAGGCATTGGAACAAGGCAAGATTTAAAATGTATTTAGATGGCAGAGTTTAAAAAAAAAACTTGATAGTTGCCTGGATTAGAGAATGAGGGCAATAGACTATTGGTCCCTGGATATTATTATTAAATACTCAGAGAGAAAGGAGAGGAGCAGGTTTTTAGAAGAAGAGGCAATGTTAAAAGATAGTGAGTTCAGGCCAGGTGTGGTGACTCATGCCTATAATCCTAGAACTTTGAGAGGTAGGAGGATTGCTTCAGCTCAGGAGTTCAGACCAGCTTGAACAGCGTAGTGAGAGACTTAGTGTCTACAAAAAATAAACAGAATTAGCTAAATGTGTGATGGTACACACCTGTAGTCCTAGCTACATGGGAAGATCGCTTGAGCCTGGGAGGTTAAGGCTGCAGTGAGCTAAGATCATGCCAATGCACTCCAGCCTGGTGACAGACAGAGTGAGACCCTGTCTTTAAATAAATTAAAAAAAAAAAAAAAAGTTCAGCCAGGAGAAGTTAAATTATTAAAGATGCAGGTGCTTATTGGACAACCAAGGTGGCAATGATCTAAATAGAGTCAGTTTGAAGTTTAAGAACAAAGTCTGGCTGGGCATGGTGGGTCACATCTGTAATTCCAGCACTTTAGGAGGCTGAGGTGGGAGGATTACCTAAGGTCGGGAGTTCAAGACCAAACTGACCAACATGCCAAAACCCTGTCTCTACTAAAAATACAAAATTAGCTGGGCACAGTGGTGCCCAGCTACTCAGGAGGCTGAGGCAGGAGAATTGCTTGAACCCAGGAGGTGGAGGTTGCACTGAGCTGAGATTCATGCCATTGCACTCCAGCCTCGGCAACAAGAAACTCCATCACACACACACAGACACACACACACACACACAAAGTCTAAATGAGAGACTAATATTTAGGAGGCAAAAACATTGAGCTGAAGCAGTCATGCATTCCAAAGTCATGCATGCCCAGGGTTTAACATGTAAGATGGGAAATTAACAGAATCCCAAGGAACAGGCAAGAATGTCAATAGGAGAACACTCTAAATGTTCAGAAGGCCAACTGGGAGTGGTGGCTCACGCCTGTAATCCTAGCACTTTGGGAGGCCAAGGTGGGTAGATCACTTGTTGTCAGGAGTTCAAGACCACCCTGGCCAACATGGTGAAACCTCGACTCTACTAAAAATATAAAAAATTAGTCAGGCATAATGGCAAGCATCTGTAATCCCAGCTACTAATTGGGAGGCTGAGGCAGGAGAATCACTTGAACCCAGGAGGCGGAGGTTGCAGTGAGCAGAGATCGTGCCGTTGTACTCCAGCCTAGGCAACAAGAGTGAAACTCTGTCTCAAAAATAAATAAATAAATAAGTGTTCAGAAGTACAATGACACTCTAAATGTCAGAAGGAAAACATTCTACAAAGGAAATGACCAACTGTATCAAAAGCTATGAATGAGGAAGATGAGCTTGAAAGGTGTCCACTGAATTTGCAACCAGGAAATAATTGGCAACCTTAGACACAGCAGTTTCAGTAAAGTGGTTAAGACAAGAGTAAGACTAAAGTGAACGGAGGAAGGAGTAGCAGATAAGGCTATGGAGAAACTTTGTGAAGATAGTCTGGCTGTTCTTCATCATTCCTATATACCCATGAAGGGTAGCTTTGCTTTATTATTAAAAACAAAAACAAAAGAGTGAACTAAGGGTGGGCACAGTGGCTCATCCCTGTTTGGGAGGCTGAGGTAGGAGGACTGCTTGAGCCCAGGAACTGGAGACCAGCCTGGGCTATGCGGCAAAATCCTATCCCTACAAAAAATACAAAAATTGGCCAGGTGCAGTGGCTCACGCCTGTAATCCCAGCACTTTGGGAGGCTGAGGTGGGCAGATCACCTGAGTTCGGGAGTTCAAGACCAGCCTGACCAACACGGAGAAAGCCCGTCTCTACTAAAAATACAAAATTAGGTGGGCATGGTGGCGCATGCCTATAATCCCAGCTACTCGGGAGGATGAGGCAGGAGAATCGCTTGAACCCAGGAGGCAAAGTTTGCAGTAAGCCGAGTGCACCATTGCACTCCAGCCTGGGCAACAAGAGCAAAACTCCATCTCAACAACAACAACAAAAGAAACAAAAAAACAAAAATTAGCTGGGCATGGTTGTGTGAACCTGTAGTCCAAGCTACTTACTCATGAGGTTGAGGTTTTGGAATGATCACTTGAACCTCAGGAGGTCAAGGCTGTAGTGAGCCATGATTGTGCCACTAGATTCCAGACTGGGAAACAGAGTGAGACTCAGTCTCAAAAAAAAAAAGTGAGGCCGGGTGCGGTGGATCACCTGAGGTCAGGAGTTCAAGACCAGCCTGGCCATCTTGGTGGAACCCCATCTTAAAAAAAAAAAAAAAAAAGGCCGGGTGCGGTGGCTCAAGCCTGTAATCCCAGCACTTTGGGAGGCCGAGGTGGGTGGATCACGAGGTCAAGAGATCGAGACCATCCTGGTCAACATGGTGAAACCCCGTCTCTACTAAAAATACAAAACATTAGCTGGGCATGGTGGCGCGTGCCTGTAATCCCAGCTACTCAGGAGGCTGAAGCAGGAGAATTGCCTGAACCCAGGAGGCGGAGGTTGCGGTGAGCCCAGATCGCGCCATTGCACTCCAGCCTGGGTAACAAGAGCAAAACTCCGTCTCAAAAAAAAAAAAAAAAAAAAAAGTGAATAAGTATATTTATTTATAGATAATAATAGCAGCTGATATTTATATAGTACTTAAATTGTGTCAGGCACTGTTCTGAGAGGTTTGCATATATTATCTCATTTAATCTGCACAATAACCCTCTAAGGTAAATATACTGTTACTTTCTTTTTCCTTTTTATTGTTTTTTCATGTCAGACAGGCAACATGCAGACATTAACAAGGTTTGAGGGCAGTATACTTCACATGTGCACAAGAAAATCCAATCACTGTGCTATGGACTATAAAAAGACAATAAACGATTACTCTTATTTTAGAGAAGGCATTTAGAGATTAAGCAACTTGCTTAAGGTTATCCACTTGTTAATTGGCAGAGACTGGCAGAATCTGCAGTCTGGCTCCAGAGTTCATACTGTTTACCACTATGTTGCATTGGAGAGTTACAGACCATTGCATCTGAGTCAGAGAGCTTCATGCAGCACAGGAGCTCAAAAATGAATTTACTCAAACCTTATATGATGCATTATCTCCTTCCTCCTCCCAAGGGAGAGAAAAAGAGAAAAATTCCTCTAAGCCTAAAATTCTTTTTTTTTTTTTTTTTTTTGAGACAGAGTGTTACTCTGGCACCCAGGCTAGAGTGCAGTGGTACAATCTTGGTTCACTGCAACCTCTATCTCCAGGGTTCAAGAGATTCTCCTGTCTCAGCCTCTGGAGTAGCTAGGATTACATGTATGTGCCACTATGCTCAGCTAAGTTTTTGTATTTTTAGCAGAGACGGGCTTTCACCATGTTGGCCAGGGTAGTCTTGAACTGCTGACGTCAGGCGATCTACCTACAATCACCTGAGACAGAGTGAGACCCTGTCTTGAACAAAAAATGTGAAAGTTGGCCAGTTTCGATGGCTCACACCTGTAATCCTACCACTTTGGGAGGCCAAGGCAGGTGGGTTGCCTGAGGCCAGGAGTTTGAGACCAGCCTGGTCAATATGGCAAAACCCCATCACTACTAAAAATACAAAAATAAGCTGGGTATGTTGGCAGATACCTGTGATCCCAGCTACTCAGGAGGCTATGGCACGAGAATCGCTTGAACCTGGGAGGCAGAGGTTGCAGTGAGCAGAGATCACATCAATGCACTCCAGCCTGGGCAACAGAGTGAGACTCTGTCTCAAAAAAATAATAAAATAAAATATGTGGAAGTGCTTCAAAAAAAATTTAAATGTGATGTATTTTCTGATGTGGTAATAATACAAGCACCAAAAAGAACCAGTTGGGGGCAGCACCATGCAGCACTTCAGATCCTTGGAAGCCTAGGATCAGTTTTGGCAAGGCAGAAAGAATGACTAAAAATAAATCTTCTAACTTCTCAAAAGGGAAACCTGTTGATCTGCTTCATCCTGCTTGATAATCCATCTTCGAAAAATCTTAAAATAAGGCAAAATGACTACATAAACGCAGTGTCTTGCTCTCTTCATTCTAGTTGAATCTGCCCAAGGTTCACATTTGAGGTGCCCACTTGCTGAAAAGAAACTGAGCTTGTGAACTTCAAGTTACAAGTGGGCAATGAAGCTGACATTTAATCAGGTAGGCGGATTGCTTTTGCTCTGAAAGTCAAAAGGTAGGCAGTGGTTCACTTCTTTAGCATGATGACAGTGTGATATAAAGGGCCTGTCTTCAGGAGCCACTCAGGTTTCCCAACTGAGTGCCAGGCAGAAGATACTATAATGAAAAGACTATATGTGCACTCTCTAGAGGCCAGGTGAGGCCAGGACTCTTGGCTCTGGGAAACACTTGTTTACTCTGTTCAGCAATGTCTCTGAAGGCCAGAGAAATCCATATGCAAAGGCCAGAGAAATCCATACGCAAAGCCAGAGGGTACAGAGCACAGGAAAAAGTGACAAAAGATGAAGAATCACACTTGGCTGATAGATTCTGGCTTTTCCAGGCAAAACGGAAAGAGCACAAACCAAGGACCAGAGAGGGAAAACAAATGGAATTTGTTTTTTACAACCCATTTATCTTGCCTGCCTTTGGTGAATACATTAATTGGGCTGATAAGCCTCTAGGCCCTCAGAAACCACTTCTCAACGTTTCAAGACCTTTGCATGTATGAGAAAACAAAATTTGAGATCTGTCAACAAGGAAGAGTTTTTTGTTTTTTGTTTTTGTTTTTTTTTTTTTGAGATGGAGTCTCACTCTGTTGCTAGGCTGGAGTGCCATGGTGCAATCTCAGCTCACTACAACCTCGGCTTCCTAGGTTTAAGTAATTCCCCTGCCTCAGCCTCCTGAGTAGCTGGAACTACAGGTGCGTGCCACCACTCCCAGCTAATTTTTGTATTTTGAGTAGAGATGGGGTTTCACCATGTTGGCCAGGATGGTCTCAATCTCTTGACCTCATGATCTGCCGCCTTGGCCTCCCAAATTGTTGGGATTATAGGCATGAGACACTGCACCCGGCCTTTTTTTTTTTTTTTTTTTTTTTTTTTTTTTTTAATGAGACGGAGTCTTGCTCTGTCGCCCAGGCTGGAGTGCAGCTGGTGTGATCTCGGTTCACTGCAACCTCTGCCTCTCAGGTTCAAGTGATTCTCCAGCCTCAGCTTCTGGAGTAGCTGGGATTACAGCCATGTGTCACCACAGCCAGCTAATTTTTGTATTTTTTAGTAGAGACAGGGTTTCACCGTGTTGGCCAGGCTGGTCTGGAACTCCTGGCTTCAGGTGATCCACCTACCTCGGCCTCCCAAAGTGCTGGGATTATAGGCATGAGCCACCCCACCCGGCTGGAAGATTTCTAGGTTGCTACACAGTCTCTGTGCCCATTAGCTGGAATGTTCACTTCTTCATAAGCAACTCCCAGTGCAGACTCAGCTGGTGTGGGCTCTGAACAAATCCCTCTGCAGGAAGCAGAGACAAGAGCAACTGCAGTAGCATGTTCAGCTTTCCAGGATGGGGATAACAGCTGCTTTGCTTTCATTTTCAGCTAGATCACTCCCTTGGTCAGCTTTATAAAACAACCTAAGGCATTAGTAATACATTTAAGTAATACAGAAGTTTTAACATTTTTGTTATTTTAAAATTTCAAGTTAGAAAACTATAATACAGCCAATAAAATGTGTTATAGGTACTTCAATACCTCTCAGTGGGTGTTGGTACCTTTTTCTTTCTTTCTTTCTTTTTTTTTTTTTTTTAAGAGATGGGGTTTCACCATGTTGGCCAGGCTGGTCTTGAACTCCTGACCTCAAGTGATCCACCCACCTCGGCCTCCCAAAGTGTTGGGATTACAGGCGTGAGCCACTGCACCCAGCCTGTTGCCTTTTTCCATACCAACTCTACCTATAGCAAAACCTACCTCTCTTTCTCAAGGTCTAATAAAATATTGTAATAGAGTTTCTTCCACTTCATTTGTGTTTGATACTTGGTTTCATTAAATATACACAGCCTTTTCCTAGAAGGTACTCAATAACTAAAAGTGTATTGGTAATTCAACTATATTATATAAATAAACCTTTGTTATTAAAATGTAAGAAATAGGTCGGGCGCAGTGGCTCACGCCTGTAATCCTAGCACTTTGGGAGGCCAAGGTAGGTGGATCACCTGAGGTCAGGAGTTCAAGACCAGCCTGGCCATCATGGTGAAACCCCATCTTTAAAAAAAAAAAAGAAAGAAATTATATGCCAACATCTTTTTTTGTTTGTTTGTTTTTGAGATGGAGTCTTACTCTGTTGGCCAGGCTAGAGTGCCATGGCGCCTTCTCAGCTCACTGCAAGCTCTGCCTCCGAGGTTCAAGCAATTCTCCTGCCTCAGCCTCTTGAGTAGCTGGGATTTCAGGTACCTGCCACCATGCCTGACTAATTTTTTGTATTATTAATAGAGTGAGGTTTCACCATGTTGGTCAGGCTGGTCTTGAACCCCTGACCTTGTGATCCACACGCCTCAGCCTCCCAAAGCACTGGGATTACAGGTGTGAGCCAAGGCACCTGGCCTCTTTTTTAAAGTCACCAAATGGACAGAGAAGTGGACACTCAATTCTATACTCACGAATATCAATTCAGGTTATTTCTACAAACATTTATGGAATACTACTCCCCCTACTGCCACTGCCATATGAGAGTAAGAACTTGTCTCTTAGCCTGGCACAGTGGCTCTCGCCTGTAATCCTAGCACTTTGGGAAGCTGATGTGGGAGGATCGCTTGAGGCCAGGAGCTCAAGACCAGCCTAGGCAACATAGCAAGACCCCATCTCAAAAAAAAAAGATGATAAATTATATGTTGTATGTATTTACCACAACAGAGTATGTGTACAAGCGTCCCCATAGTACTTTGGTCCCTTCCACTATGTAGCGACACAGCAAAAAGACAGGTATCTATAAACCATGAAGTAGTCCCTCACCAGTGTTTGAATCTGCCTGTGCCTAGATCTTAGATTGCCCAGCCTCCAGAAGTGTGAGAAATAAATTTCTGTTGTTTATAAGCTACCCAGTATATATTTTTTTTATAGCAGCACAAATGTACCAACACAATTGCCTAGGCTGAAGAGTATAGGTTCTTCCCCACATATCCCCTCCAGGGTCTGGTAGGTACCAATTTAGGCACAGACAAGCACATAAACATGTCCATACAGAGAATATTCTAGAGTGGCTCTAGGGAATATGCACCTCTCTCTGAGGTAAATGCACCCAGGACTCCAGTTCCCAATTCTTGATGGTCCTTGTCAGCTACAGTAGTCTCAACTGATCATAACTAGTCAGAACAATGAGACAAAATGGTAGGTAGCTTTAAAAAAATGTTGAATTATCAATGTACTGATACCAGCAACCAAATAAGTTTATCTCTGAAAAGTGGCTCAAAGGCATTCAGAGAAGGTCTGGAGAAAATATCAACTGTAAGATGTATTATTCCTTTTTGAAAAACCTGCCCAACTGGCCAGGATTTAGGGCACTTACTCAAGGAAGATAACTATGCCGCCATCCAACTAGCAGAGATCATTTGCTACCATCTAATTAGCAACACTGTACTAAGGAAGATTCATTCACCCTTCTACTCACCTACCCCAACACTGAAAACCTACAATGTGATATACAAAGATAAGAGGGGCCAGTCTCTGCCCACAGAGACTAGTCTAGCCTAGATGGTCTAGTAGAGATGCCATACAATCAACTAACATTTTTTTTTTCACACAGAATAATAACATGATCAGATATGCTACATAGAAATATCATTCTAACAGTAGCACAAAAATTGTATAGAAAGGTCAGGAACTGAGGCTGGGAGAAGAGTTAGTATAACCAAGGCCTGAA